ATTATAAAATTAATTTTTAAATTAAATAATTTATTCATAAAAGCTATATATGTAAATTAATTTAATATTTATAATCCCTTTGAAAGAGAACGACAAACACTGCAGTAAGCTTTGATCCAGACGTTATCTGATATCTTATCGACCCAAAAAAATAAAAATGACGTGAGATCTGTCGCGTTTAACAATGTATGTCTTTTTCTTTTTCTTTTTCTCTTTTTTTTTTTTTTTTTTAACAAGATGATGATTAAGAAGTTAATTTGAATTAATTATTAATAATTGAGAATTTAATCCCTAAATCAAGTAAACATTCTCAAATAAGATGTACAGTCATTAAATTACTTTTTATTAAAGTTTATGATGATAATAAAATTTAAAACTTTCGTGATAACTTTACCCAAACACTTAAAACTTAAAATCAAACAATCGGAGTAAAATCCGATTATAATAATGTATGCCTTTTTTTGAGGAAATAATAATATAATAATGTATGTTTTAGAAATACATTATTAAATAAATCAGGATAAGATGAGTCAAACGATCTGATTAATAATGCCTCTCTTTGTCCTTATTTGAGTCCGAGATGACAAAATAACATGTGGCTCTTTCTCCTCACCAAAATAATATTTAAGTTCAGTATCATTTGCTCTTTCGATATTCTCAAAAAGCCACACCGCCATTTTCCATTAACGTCGCCGTCTTCTTCCCGATTCCCACTATGACCCCCATCTCAGATTTCTTCCGTCTGTTTTTCACTTGTGCTGGTATCTTTGCAATTGTTTGGTATACATGGACATACTTCAAATCCAGAAAGGGGATTTCGAAGTTGCCGCCGGGTCCTCCTGGCCTCCCTCTGGTCGGCAACATTCCCTTCCTTGACCCGGAGCTTCACACCTACTTCGCAGCCGTGGCTCGCAAATATGGACCAGTTGTCAAGCTTCAACTCGGAACCAGGATTGGCATACTGATCACCTCCCCTGCCCTGGCCCGTGAAGTCCTCAAAGACCAGGACATCACGTTTGCTAACCGCGACATGCCCGCCGTGGCAGGAGCAGCATCGTACGGTGGCTCTGACATCGTGTGGAACCCTTACGGACCCGAGTGGCGGATGTTGAGGAAAGTCTGTGTGGTCAAGATGCTGAGCAACACGACTCTGGACTCTGTCTACGCGCTCCGGCGCAGCGAGGTCCGGGGAACAGTTGCTTATATCAACAGTCGGGTGGGGTCCCCTGTGAATATTGGGGAGCAAGTGTTTCTGACCATATTGAATGTGATTACAAGCATGTTGTGGGGTGGGACGGTGCAGGGCGACGAGAGGGCTGCCCTGGGGGCAGAGTTCCGGGAGGTGATCTCTGATTTCACAGAGCTTTTGGGTTTGCCCAACATTTCGGATTTCTTT